GATGTAGAGCCTGCACCGTTGTAGGGTTTATGGCAGAAAGAAAGATCTGTGGAAGAAACAGGCGAGTATTCTGCATTCTCGTCAGGCTCACCTTGGGGAATTGCTTTAATCTCAGTTGGGGATGGACTAGAGCATCTTCTAACCCTGTGGTCTAGAGATCCACAGCTTTATGGAGTGTGTGTTTGTGAGGGTGGGAAGTGTGAGGACAGTGATGTCAGTGGGCTCAAACTGATGCCATAATTTTGATAACTACCAACCCATAAACTGTTTGAACAGAAAGTTTTCTAGGAGGCTGGGAGGGAGGCAGTGATGTTAGAACTCATGAAGGGCTGGTGACGCCAGCTGAGTGCAGGGAGACAAACGCTCCCCTGGTGTCATTTCTACAACTCCTTGCTCCTGACAGCTGTCCTGGACAGTCACACCTCGATTTTTGTGTGGGGTAGGGGTCAGCTAACTCTTGTAATTCCTCAGTGTGTTCAGTCCTGTCCTGGCTTTCAGCTTCTCTAGCGTGTGTATAAATAGAAGCTGTGTATTTACATACAGCTGCTGTAGGTGACCTCAGACAACCCTGCTTTTTTGTTTGTTTCAGTGTATGTAGGGTGACTACAAATAATTAATAATGGAATTGGAAGGTTTCAATGACCGTTTACTGTGGGGAGTCCTCCTTCCCTGCAGACAGCTTGATGTCAGAATGCAGCTGGTATTTTTAGATTGATTTTATATAGATAGATCTTGTATACCATACTGTCAAATTTAGTTTAAAAAAAATAAATAAATAAAATCCCAAATTGTAGCTAACAGACAGGCATCAAAACCACATCAAAACTTTAACCTGAATCTAGCATTAGATCTTTTTTTTGCTTTGCTATTAGGAAATACAGTTATTTCCTTATAGAATTTACTTTCCCTGAAAATAACAGCACGAGAGAGAGCACACAGATCTGCACGTGTGTCCTGTACGTGGACAGGAGACGTGGAGAAGGGACAGTTGAAGCTACCGGGAAATGTGCGCATGGTGACGGTGGTTGGGTCAAGTTTGGCTGTTACCAGCACGTGACCTGTTGCTGAGAACTGGCTGGTGTTGAATAAGCTCTTTGAACTGATGCCACCAGCGAGCTCTTTGCCAGCAGTGGGAGGTGGGGGCAGTTTTCCTATCCTTGAGAAAAACTTCATCATCCTGAAACGTGCGAGCAGAGAAGAGGCCTGATTTCAGAGAGGGTTGGTGATGGATGAAGTGTCCTGCTGGTGCCGTTATCAGATGTGTTGTGATAACACAGGAGCAGATGCAGCCACTGTCCTCTGCAACACACCAAAGACTCTGCTTTCATTGTCTCTTAGCAGTGTGGTTATTTTCTGACAGGATGTTTTGGTCTGTGCTTAACAGTTGGTCTCTTTTTTTTTTTTAAGGTAAGACTTGTGTCACCTCTCAAATAAAAATGTCACTATTTCACTAGAAATAATTTTATTTACCTCAATGCACAAGACTTGTAGGTACTGTGTAACACCAAATTTAGTCACCCCTTATTTTTGTGTGTGGTGTGCCTGCACTCTTCAGATATTCATTGCTTTAGTCACTGTTGGCTGTTGCATCAGGGTCATGACATGATGTCACATCACAGAGAAATGAATCAAAGTGAAACAGGACCGTGTAGGTGCAAGGCTTTCACCTCACTGGTGCTCTGACTCGGCAGGTGGTTACTGCAGTTACCTGTTCCTGAAGAGAGCAGATGAGAGGAAGTTTAAATTATTTTTGTTAGGAGAACCTCAACTTTCTGTGTTTAAGTGAAGGTGCTTCCAATCCCTGACATTCTGCGTGGTTCTGTGCACTCGTTCCCAGCCTCAGACGAGCTGTGGCTGTGCTTGGATTTCCTGAGGGTGAGTAGAAGACAAATCAGAGTAGGGTTCCTCTCTTTGAGGACTGCTGAGGTAAATCAGACATCCTCCAAAGATAAACTGTCCATGCAGACCCAGGCAACTGTTCACAGGAGAGCCTTTGAGGTGGCACTTCTTACTGGAAAGAGACAAATGTTCAGGTGGCTTTGAGGGAACCTTTAATTAGGGAGTAGAGTACTTTGCATGGCAGTTCTGTCACACCCTGAAGTTGATGGAGAGTTGCAGAGCGGGCAGTCCAGCATCTGGTTGTGCTCTTTCTGAGGTGCTTCGGCACGCTCTGGCACGAAACGGTACAGATCTGGATGCTCTTTTCAGAAGATGAGTTGATTCAGAGTTGTCTTGAGTTTAGTTTGGGCTTTAGCCATGACTTTCTCATCTGTTTGGAGCTATCTCTAAAGTAGATTGTAAAATGGTTTCACAACTAATTGCTGAATTAGTGCTACTCTGTTATTTAGTACTTGCCGTACAAGTTCTCCTTCTATCTTAGACTTGAACTTGGTAGTTCCACTTTTGCTTTCATTTAATTAGAAGATAATGGTAGACAGAAGTGATTCTGACTGGTCTTTCTAGGTGAGCGAGGGAATAGCACATAAAAGGTGTGGATTAGGTTTTTTAATTTGTTTTAATCAGCACTTTAAGGACTTTTCTTTACCAGGACAGTGCTCTGAGAACACAAAGGCAAGGAACCTTGAGGGCTGAGCTAAGATTTTTTGATGTGAGGATGGAAAGAACTTGCTTTCTGTTTTACCCAGTTATGCAGCTAGAGAACAAATACAGAAATTTCAGGTGATGCCCAAATCCAACGATTGCATCTGGTTCAGCATTGCTTCCTGGGGAGTCCAGTTCTTTTAGCTGCAGTTCCCATGGGGCTTTGACCTTCTGGCACGTGAAGGTTGACCACATCGTCCCAGGGCAGATATAGTTCCACTGTTTATTATTTGTATGTTGGTATTAAATAACTTCAACCACTGGCATTATTTTTCATATGGAGATACCTCTAAATGCAGGAGATGGTGATATCAAGTGTGTAAACTGCAGAGCCTGATGTTATTTTTCCTACAGTACCTGTTACAAAGGGCAGCAGCAGCTGTGTCACTAGTGTATTTTTGTAGAATATATTTTTTTAAGCTATTTTGATTGTCAGTTACCTTCCCTGTAACATCCAGTGTTAGGTAGCAAATAGATGTAGGAGAGCACAACTTTGAACTTGGTTTTGGAGCAAGACTCTGCTCACCTCTTGATCCGTAACCTGGGATTAGAGCAGTTAGTGGAACAGACTTGGGTATTTAAACCAGGATGTCTGGTTTTCTGTCAGGTCACATTATCTTGGAAGTTCTGGATGTTGTTTTCATCCTCAAATTGGAACTGCACAGCCCTGCAGCTGTTTCTGTTGTTGCTAAGAGAAGTTCTGTAAGTAGCTTAGAGCCAGTGACCCAGTCCTTGACAGGAATCCAGACATCCTGTTTTAGTTGGGGGGTTGGGGTTAACCAGGTACAGTGACTTTATAACGATGTTCTTGGATCACTTTTCAAATTTCACTGATGATTTGTATGTATTTTTTCTGAACCATGGAGTGTTCCATGATGGAACTTCTTTCTGCCCCAAAAGAGCAGGTAAATGTACTCAGTGTGATGTTCTGTGTTGTTTTTTTTTCCCTCTGGCTGTTGTAATGGTTTCTCAAATCAACACTGCCTTCTCAAATACCTGGAAATAAGAAGCTTAGAGGAACTTAGGATTTTTGTCTTTGCATGAAAGAATAAAATGTATTCCTGTAATAAAAATACAGTCTGTGTTCACGCTGGTGGTACACAAAACAGATGCTTCAGTTTAATGTGAATCTTCATGAAACAGAAGGCAGTTGTCAAAAACAACAGTGAATTCTAGTGAAGAACCAGCCTTGTAGTGTATTTTGGAGGCCTGAGAATCACCACACCTCTTCAGAATAGCTGACTCCTGCTTTAAATAAGATGAAGCATCTGTGGTGTAGCACCCTAAAACTGCTGTGTGCTTCATTTGCAGAAAACTGTTTGTGGGAGGCTTGGACTGGAGTACAACACAAGGTAAGCTGTGCATTCTGCAGTCGTGAGCCCGGCCTTTGTGAACAGCACAACAATGCACAGACAGACAGACAGTGCTGTGGTAGGAAGGTTTGGATGAGGTTCTGCTGCTCTCTTCTGTTAATAAATAACATTTTCTGTAGAGAGGGTTCAAATAAGTGTTGGTCGCTTTTGGTTTTGTATTTTCTCTCAGTGTTTGATGTTGAAGTTTTTGTCAGCTCAGAAGATGACAGTTTTTTATCGTTGCTTAGCTATGATACTACTTTTCTATGGAAATAAAGCAGTGTATACTATCTGTTCAGAGGAAGTAAAATTTAATCATTTTCAAAAGATGAGTTTGAACTTGTTTATCTGTTTTTGTACCTTTTGTCTCATAGTTGTGAATACAGCCTCATAACCTTAATATCTGGTTCTGTTTAATATATGCTTTTCTTTTTAACAGAAACTCTTCGTAGCTACTTCTCCCAGTATGGAGAAGTTGTAGACTGTGTAATAATGAAAGACAAAACAACAAACCAGTCTCGAGGATTTGGATTTGTCAAATTTAAAGATCCCAACTGTGTGGGAACAGTACTGGCCAGTAGACCTCATACGTTAGATGGCCGAAATGTAAGTTGCTTTTGTGTTTTGTGTGGGTTTTTTTTCTACTTCAGAACTTTCTGCTCCAGACTGCTTCAAAGATCAGTTTTAAATTCTGGCTTCTTATTTGCAGACTGGATAGTGTAAAAGTTACCTGGTTGTTGGTTTTAATTATTTATTATAAGACAGCTTTAACTCAATGATTTGTGCCACGTTACAGAAGCGATGTGTTGCTGATAGCTTTGATCTGAGGAGCTGGATTTCAGCAGTGCTGAGTTCAGCTGCCAGAAACGTAACTTGTAGAACAATACTCTGTGTGCTGAGATCTGACCAAACTGGAACTTCTTCCAGATTGATCCAAAGCCATGTACACCTAGGGGGATGCAACCAGAAAGGACACGACCGAAGGAAGGATGGGTAAGGAAACATACTTGGTGTATCCTGCCTGTTTTCCAAGTTTTGGGTTATTTTCTAGCAGTTTAATTGAATTCACTTGGATTAGATCCGTGTTTTAAAATCAGGAGTCTGTGCAGGCCTCGAGTGTAAGTTTTATTTCTGAAAAATGTCTTCTACTCTAGATTTCCATGGTCAGACTCCAAGGACATCACAGTGTTAACAAGCACTCTGTGTCAGACTCAGTTTTTGGGTGTGGTGTTTTCTTAAGCTCTTAGCAATGCTTTTAGTTGTGTTCTTCAAATCTTGAAATAAGTGTCTGGAAGTGCACACTGGCAGGACTGATACTCTTTTCCTGCCTACTTCAGGCCCTGCAGGTTAATATGATTTCATTAGAAAATGAGTAAACGGCCTTAAAACACAGTCCCTAGTTGTCTGATCTTCTGAAGAACAGGGACTGAGTTATAACTGCCACCACTAAACTCCCGAGCTCTGAACACGCAGTTGCTTCACTTTAATGAGTAGGAGACTTTGAGCCTGGAGCTGGTTCCCCCTCAACCTGCAAGAGACCATTGTTCATGTTTAAGTGTAAAATGATAGAAGTAGGCAACTTTATTGTCCTTCTGACTGAATTTTTTTCCTCCTTGATTTAGCAGAAAGGATCCAGGAGCGATAACAATAAATCAAATAAAATTTTTGTTGGTGGGATTCCTCATAACTGTGGCGAGACAGAGCTCAGGGAATACTTCAAGAAATTCGGAGTGGTGAGTCATTCAGCATGATGGCAGTTATCAGTCGGTTGCAAGATGCTTTGCCTCCCTACTGCCTTTTCTCAGATTTCGTCAAGCTGTCAATTTTTGGGTTAATTTAGACAAACTGCTGTAGGGACATATTGAAGCATTTTGTGATAAACTGTAGTAAACGTTCATCATCTAGAAATGTATCTTGCTGTTTGTCAAAATCCATTGCTCTGATATGTAACTTAATTTGCTGCTTCTGCCTCCTCTTGTTCAAGTCTACCTGATGCATTTCTCCATTCCCTTCCTGCAAAAAATCCCTGAATTGAGTTGCCTTAAGAATATTTTTTTCTCTTTTCAATTGATAACTTACAGCTTGGTGATTTCAACATTTTTGGTGACTTTTTCTTTTTTTGGGAACAGCGAGTACTTCAGTGAGTTCATGTCCAAGATCCTCGCCTCTGACTACGTGTACAGATAGGTTAAATTTTGCAGTCTCCTGCCATTATTTTAGTAACAGTTGCTTTTAAATCATCATCTGGAATCAGCTGAGTTCTGATGTCCCCAGAACCTCCATTCTAGAGACAAACTGCTCATTTTTGCACCTGTTTTTATTTCAATTCATAAACTTGAACTCCAATGACTGTATCTTCTGATTTTTTTTTTCCTAGTTAGTTTTGATTTCCTCTTTATCCCAACTATCATTGCCCCTTTCAGATGGTGAACTGCTGAACTAAACTGCTAAACTCAGCTGTGAACTAGTCTGAGAAACTGAAAAGATTGCCTGAGTTAAATTCAAGACTATGCCAGTGGATGTGAACTTGCCATCTGAGTGGCATTTAGTGTGTTCTTTTGATATTTTTTTAAATCACCTTCCTCTAAGATCTCAAGTAGCTAAGTTTACCAACGGTACTGATTTTAAAATTTAAGATAATTTTACAAAATAATATAAAAGGCAATGGCTAACAACTGTTTCTTTAGTTTGAAAGGCTGCAGTAGACTTGTAAATAAAAATGGGGGAGCATGTTCCACAGCTGTGGAGCACAATTTCTAAAGGCTCTTCCTCACAGACTTTTGGCTTTCCAATTCTGCCCTCTGGATGGCTTGGGAGATACAGGGTTATGTTCCACCAAATATAGAAGGCAACAGCCATTAAGTGTAAGTGCCTTTAAAAGTAAGTAATAGAACTTTAACAATAGTATAGAAACTGAGGAGTCAATGTGACCTTCTTAATGAGTTATCTTTGGAGACGTGGAGGCTCTTCTATGTGTTCTGTGGCCACAGAGTGAAGAGGCAGACACAGACACTGACTCTTAGACATGGTAATTGCTTGGTAAATAAAACCAGTGTGACGAAGGGGGATCCAAATGGACCAGTGGGGAAAAAAATCTGTCGCTGTCACATGGCATAATCCCCAAATGGGGGTAAATCCCAGCTGTTAACATCCAGTAGGGTCTATACAAGTGAGTATGTGTGCTGTAATAACTTGAGAAGTATGTTTTCTACCTGTAAGTAAAAGGTGAATTTGCATCAGATTTTAAGCTAATTCAGGGGATTATAGTAAAAAAAATCCTAAAACTGACTTGAAGGCCAAGAGGTGGTTCCATGAGATCACACACATTTTGTGACCACTTTTCTGCATCTGAGAAATTTAAAGGCAGTTCTTTCAGCTGCTTTAATGTTGCCCTTTGACATGTTACATCTCTGTTTTTGTTTAAATTGTAGCTCCCAGTGATGCTTATTCTGAAAAAAATAAAAAAAATCTTGAAGCCCTCAACCAACTTGCATTTTCCAATTTTGTGGGGCTTTTTAAGTTAAAAACACACTGATACTCATAATCTGTAACTTAGGGTGGGGTTTTTTCGTAATACTATTTACAGCATCGATTTATAACTGGTACTCTGTGCCATACTGATATTCAAGTGAGTAATTCAGAGAAGCTGTGCAAATTCTTAAATGTGTGTGGAGTTAAAGCTGTTTTTCATGTTGAGAGTGAAAACGTTTAAAAATGGGAAAAGCAATTGTTTAAGAAGCTACACTGATCAATAGTACATTGAAAACCAGAAACCTTCGGGGTGTTTTTATAGGCTATAGTGTGGATATAAACAGTGTAGAGACTTTAATGCTAGATTAAAATCTTGAGTAGCATGATGAGACCTCACAAAGCCAGGGTGCAGCAGCTTTTCCTACCAGACAACGCCGGCTGCTGTTACCCTCCCGTGAAGAGCGCTATTCCCGCCGCGTTCGCGCTGCGCCAGGACAGCCCGGTATTGATGGCTACATTGAGCCTTTAATTGTGCTTTGTGGATCGAGCGCGGGGGAGCAGCCTGTCAGAACTGTTTATAACACTCCCCTGGTAGCACAGTTAGTAGAATTTCCCTTCTCTCTTCCAGGTCACTGAAGTTGTAATGATCTATGACGCAGAGAAACAGAGGCCCCGAGGTAAAGGCTGATCTAGTTTGTCCTTGAAATTTCTTCATACTCTCCTATAGTCAGATGGCAAACTATTTCACACCATCAGAAAAGGTAGACTTTTTTCTTTTCTGTGTTGCCTCAGGAAAAAGAATAATTCACTGGGCAAATATCACTTCAAGTCTAGACTCTTCATCTACAGCTTTAGTTGGTATCTGTACATTTAAAATCAGATGTTTCATGTTCATTTATGGGGGTTTTTTTTCTAGTTTTTTAGTGGAATGAGATTTGATTCTTGAGCCACTCCTGTGGCTCAAGGTACTATTGAGGGAGGGGAAAAAAAATTAAGCAGACTTCCCTCCTGTTCCACATGAAAGGTATGTTGATGTCTGTAATTGCATGGGGGGGTGCTCCAGTTCAGAGTACATCTGAACACGAGATTAGAGCAGAATCCATCCCTGCTGATGCTTTTTGTTTTGGTGAAATGGCTTCATTGAAATTTATAAAGAAAAACACTGCTTAAAAGACATAAAAATAATTCTGAAATATATACATTTTGATTGGGACATATAATCCCTGTATGCTACACTGCTGTAAAAAATAAATAAATCTGGAAGTTCCACTAGACTGTGGACTTTAATCAAGTTGGTAACCTTTGGTCAAAATATGAAGCAGGTTTCATGTCATCCACCTTCCATTGCATCTGTCATCTGTTTGACGATTACGAGGCAATATTTTAAATACGTGAAGCTCAGTTGCACTGACCACCCTGTAGCATGTTCTACATGCTAGAGAATAGTTTGCCATCTGAACTTTCATTTCTCTTCTGACTCGTTATTAAGAAATATATTCTTCACTTCATATTTATTAAGCTGTTAAGTCTTAGTTTTATTTTTAATTTAGACATACATCCTTAGTGACATATTTAAGTGTTTCATAGTAAAGTATGGTAATGTTAAGTAAGTTCTTTTTTTCTTTCTTTCTTTTTTTTCTTTTCTCTCTGTGAATTGTTTGACTGTGATTAACGATATCTCTTTAGATTTCTTCTCTCTAGGTGATAATTTATCACAGAGGTACAGGCCAGTTCCACAGTCAGAGGAGGGACGGGCTTTGTCTTTTATTGGAGTGTAAACGAAGTTTCAATATATTTGTTTTTTTTGTTTTCTTGCTTTAGCTATCTTAATCTTCTTTCAACAGATATCTTTTATTTAAGCAGAACATAAATTCATCTGTTTAAATGCTCTAGAGCATCTGATTTTAAATAGAGGAGGCAGTGGAGACAAAGATGGGCATCTGAGTAGAATCTGTGGCTGAAGTTATGAAATATTTCAGTAATTATTGTATCATTGATATCTTTGTCATATTTAATCCCAGCCTTGCAGCCTCTCTGAGCAAAAGGTACTAAAACATCATGCCTGGTCTGGATTAATCCTGGTCTCAATTAATGGCTTCTCTGCTTAAAGCTATACTAAAAAAAAAAGAAAAAAAGGCTTTGAGGGTCCATTTCTGAGGTGGCAGCTTAACGAAGAAGTGACAGATGTGTGCCAGCTGGAGTACCTGTCTGTCTGCAGCCGGTGCAGATGTACTGCAGAACACTTCCTCCTTTAATTCATCTGACTTCTTAAACAGCGTTCTTGAGTCCTTTAGCTCTGGCCTTCATTTTTGTTCTGTTACATTCCTTTATGGAGTGTGGTAACGAACTGTCATCTCCAGAAACGGCCGTGCTGGTCCCTGGGGACGTGCTGGGAACAGCTCCTCGCAGTTTGTACTCAGTGCTCCTGCTCTTGCATCCCAGAACACGCTCTCTCTCTTGCCTTCTCTTTCTGTCTGCATTCTGTTGCAGAGAGCACTGCTCAGGCTGTACGTTTGTCCTTTTAACGTGATACTTAAATGGGGATTTATTTACAAAATTTAGAAAGCCAGTTCCCTGCCATCTTCTGCACGGATCATTCTGAATTTTGCCTTCTTCCATCAACTTTACCATCCTTGCATTTTGAACAGATCCCTCACTGCATGTCATTTTACTAGCTTGCTGGTAGGAGGAGGGAAGAATGATCCCTGTTACTAATCCCTGGAGCATTCCTCTAACTCCAGCTTCTCACAAGAACACTGGGAACCAGATTCTCTGTTAGTGTCAGAGCTGCAGTGATGCCCTTGAGGAGCTGTCTTCAAGTATCCAAGTCATCTTTGCTTACTCGCAGTCCCTACCTACTTCTGTGAGCTTTCCTGCAAGCTCTGCTTTCATCACAATCCTTTTGGAGTCCCAAGTCTAAGCGCAGCCAGGCTCGTTACATCTTAGAAGAAACAGTGGCTTTGTTGCAGTCCCTGCTTCTCGTGCTTTCTATTCTTGGCTAAACCAACAACTGTGAAGTAATTTACAGGTTCTCACTGTGTTTGTTCTCTTCCTCTCCTTGGCTGCAAACCAGCCTCATTGCTCTGTTCAGTAGTCCACTTGGATTCCTGCTAAATGCAATTAGTTTCTCTAGTCTTCAATAAAATCCTGTCTTTAAAAAAAAAAAAAAAAAAAAGCTGCTGGATGATAGACTTTGTCACTTTGTCACTTTTACTGTATTAAAAATTTCATGTTGTTGGAATTTTGCTCTGTATTATACTCTGATTTCTTCACTGTTCCTTATCTTGTAGTGTTTGGCCCTTTTACATCTTTATTTTTTTTATTTTATTTTTTTTTTCTTCCTTCACTGGCTTCCTCAATGGCCTCTTATTCTCCTTCCTTCCCCCCCTCCAAACCCCATCCCCGTGCTAGAGTCTGTTCCCCTCCTTCAGTCTTCTTGGAATCAAGTTAAATGAGCATAGGTAGATGGTATCCCATCGTTTTTCTTTCCCATGCCTTTTCAGATAAAGGCTGTAATACTAAATGTGTGATTTAAATACAAATGCTTTTCTTTTGACTCTAATACTTAGATTTCTAGTTAACCTCAGACAAATATATTGTGATGAAATGCTGCTCTCAATTTTGAGGCTGCTTTCATCACAGGTCAACAAAACTTCGTTTATACTGCCAGTCTCTTGTGTGTGGGAAATGCTAAGTTTTT